CGCGCCGCGGACGCGGTTTTCCCCCCGCGAGGCACCAAGCGGGCGGCCCTTGGTGCTTCGCTACACGGGTGTCGCTTTTGCCCCCCGCGTTAAGCGCTTTCCCCCCCAGCCGCTCGTGGAGGAAGCGATCGCGCGGGTGGCTCTGTGGTATACAAACAGCAGAACCCGGCCCTCTGGCTGCCGCGCCGTTTTAAGGTGTTTTATTTAACCCGTTGAGAGCTGGCTGGGTCCCCACGCACGGAGCAGAACCCCGTCACGGTGACACACCTGAGTTTGGGGACCTACCAAAGCCCACGAGGACACTCGAGCCACACGCGCAAGGAGAAGGTTAACTCCTTGTTCGCGGCTGCGTTTGCCAGCAATAGCGATTCAAATTACTCGAGTCCAGCAAGCAAATTCCAATAAACTCCTAATTCAAGCTTTCCTTGGCACCACTGAAATGCTAAGTTACCCCTCGAGCTTCCCATTCCAATATCAGATGCACCAATGCAGCCCGACGGGATCGGGCTGTTTCAGCGTTCCCCAAATCCAGTTGTTTTTCATCTTTTTGAAGTCGGGCTACCCAGCGCTTTGATGGACACACCATCTTGTACACGTGACTGCTATTAAAACCTAACACAAGAGCCTTCATCTACAAGAAAAGGAAGCTTAAATCCTTCCTTTATTATTGATGTGTTATTGCAATTAGGCTGATCAGTAACGGAAACCTGCTGGAGCGGGCAGACACCGCGGCCGAGCGGCGTAGGGCAGGGGGGCCTCTTGATTCATGGCTTCAATTATTTGGCATTAAAAAAACAGCATTTGTCGAAACCCACATTTTCAAGTACTTTCTCGGGTAATTAGAGATGAGTTTGTAACAGAAAGCGCCCCGATTCTTACGCCCCGGCTTGTGGCATCGGCACCAGCTTGGTCCGGGCCTAGAAGGACCTTTGCATTTTTGCTTAAGTGGGGAACGGAGACAGCAAACGTGAGATTTGCTAGGCATGTTTTCAACTTCAAAGGGAAGGAAAAGGCCTATCTAGCCAGTCGTATCTTTCGTGCTTCAGAGATGCTCTAAATCAATCTTGATTTTGCAAACAGGGCAGTTTTACACAGGAATCTCATTCATTGATGTCCAGACTCCCCGTCCAACCGAGCTCAGCAGGCACAGAAGGATGTGTGGAAACCTCTCTGCAGGGAGCGAGGGACAGGCTGGGTGCAGCTCGCAAAAAACGAGCTAGAACAGGTCAAATATGGGTGGGGATTAGAAAGAATGCTCCGAGGAGCTGCTGCGAGCAGCCTGAAACGCTACCGTCCCGCCATCAAATGCCTCTTCCAGAGCCCCCGACACCAGGGGAAACGAGGGTCCCTTAATGCTGGACCTGAGCACGGCGAGCCTGAACTCAGCACATGGTTACAGCAGGATGCATGAACAGCATCTGCCGCTTCCCAGCCCTTCCCCTGTGAGAAATCCTGACAAATGTGGCAAGCTAAAGGATCATCTTGCTCTTGCCCCTGTAATTCGGGGGCAGACATGCAGGTATCCGCATGCAGCACGCTGCTCAGTCCCTGCATGGAAAGGGAACACGTTAATGGCAGGTAAGTCACGTCGAACATAAGCAACATGAAACTAAAAATACACATTTGGATTCATGTGACTGCAGCCTTTAAAAAAAAACTCATAAAAAAAACAGTAAGAGAACTGTACGAAGGAACATTTGCTGCTGCTCAGCTAACAGAACTAGACCCCTGCTCTATATATTTACTCCGCAGGATAGAAAATAAAAAAAAAAGCAGTCTGCTTAACATGGAAAAGCAGAAAACAACATTCTGTGTTAGCAAAACAACCCCTTTTTCTGCACAAAGGGAGACTGTCATCCCAGGCCCCGGGACTAGGACCTGTGTACCGGGGGAGGGAGCTAAATGGATAAATTCACGCCGAGCACCACCGGCCAGCAAAGCCCATCAGGAGCGCGTCCTGCCCGGCCCGCACGGTGCCCACACACAGAGCCCTGAAGCACTGCGTGATTTGAGCGGGGAAGGCGCCCGGAGCGCGTCCCGCGGCGCAGGAACGCAGCGGGCAGGAGGATCCACAGCCCCAGGGGGCCTGAGCTTGGATTTTCAGCGAGTCGACAGCCAGAGCAGCGTCAGTGCTTGGCCTGAGCACATTCCCCCTCCACGTGGCCACCAGGAAAGCCCCAGACGCGGGCTGGCACCGCGAGACGCCCCTGCGCACAGCCCAAGGGTGAGAAAAGCCTTTGAGAGGAGCCCAGCGCTGGCACCAAGGAGTTTCACTTCCCCACGTTTCAGCTCCTGGCAGCAAACAAGTACAACCATCTCGCTGTGATGCATTTTCCCCATTCCGTGTATTAACACCCCCCCCTTTTCTTTTTGGAACTCGTATTTTATTCACTTCGCTCTCCCGCTTACTTCAAACGGGAGGATTAAAAACATCCATGCCAAAAGCAACACGTAAGGAGGACACAAAGTAGCTCCGCACAACACAGAGAACGCTCAGCTCGCAGGAAATGCAACAAAGGGCAGACGCTGCCTTTTGAACCTTGCCCAGCTCATCTCCTCCGCTACCAGATGGGCCAATTTACTCTCAACTGCAGCAGCATCAAAGCAGGGGAAAGCGGCAAGGCTGAAAGGCCCGTGGCCTTTATCCCCTTAAGGAAACAATAACTTAAAGCCCCTGCTCCAGAGCTGCTCGCTGGGCCAGGCCTAATTGCTCCAAAGGCAGAGGCTGCAGCCCGGCTCCGGGTGGCAACAGAGCGTGTCTGTCCCGCGGCTCCCGGAGGGAAGGGGGACGAGGGCAGGGAGATGGGAAGGTCACATCCAAGCTCGCCTCGGGCGGGATTAAGGCACCCTGGCGGCTTGGGGTGACGCGAGGACACGGCCAAGGACAAACGTCTCCGCTCCACGGCCGGATTCCTCCCGCTCGCCGTGAAACCCGACCCCTTGGGCTCCGCTTCCCGACAGCGCGGAGCGGGGATTGCCATTGCTGCGGCTGGGCTCATTTCAGCAGCTCCCGGGTGGAAGGGATGCTATTTACAGCACAATCCCGCTCTGAAAAAAGAAATGACTCAAAGCAATGGCAAGGTGGGAGCCACAGTTATTGCTCCTCGATAATTTCCAGGTCACGGCCGCTCTGAGGAGAGGCAACTTTTGCGTGTGCAAGTCCTTGCACCTTCTGGTCAGTTCTGCACCCTTTCTTCCAAGCTCAGTACCAAAGGGTACAGAGAAACTTGGTGCGTGCCCTCCCAATAAGCCCGAGTGGCAAAACTCCTCAATCACGGACAGAATAGAGGTGTTACCACCACCAAAATAAAGTAAAAATATTCCAAATAAATGCTGTGCTTCTGGAAACCATGCATGTCAGAGATACATAAGGAAAAAATGAAAAAAATAAAATAAAAATACAAGAGAAACATGAGCGCTTACAGGAGCAGCACCACCCTAGAGCAGCAGCAGCGGATCCTGCACTGCCCACGTCCACGCTCCCAAGGCTCTCGCCCTGCATCCCCTGAAAACCAGGAGCACTCAAATTCCCGGGATGTTGCAACGCCACCAGTTTGCACGCAGCAGGACGGCCTCCGAAACGGGCCCCGTGCCACCCCCCGCGCTCACACCGGCTGTGCGCTTGGAACAGAAGGTACCTGGGGAAAGGGCTGGCTTTTAACAGCTCCTGCCTTCTGCCTGTGTACTTAATGGACTGCAGTATCAACCATGAAGAAGGTCAATTTATTTTCTGCCACCTGCAAGAGATATTTTTGCTTTTAAATTAGAAAATAATATTCTATTTTTTGCCCTGGCCTTCCTACTTTAAAAGCAAACACTTTAGGGACTCGTGTAGACACCTTGAGTATTTCCTTTGTGAACATTCTGTACCTGGACACTCTCCCCCTCAGGGAACAGTTTACTCAATTTAAGGTAGACCTTCACAGCTAGGAAGGAATAAAACCTCTTTTGTTCTTCGACCAGTTACCCAGAAAAAGAACAGATTTTCTCTTTCATGGCCACGCATGAGGAATTTCTGTTCAAGGTCTCATCGCAGACGCTGGGAGCCATGAATCACCAAGGATCATCCTGCACGCTGCGGAGTCAAGAGCAGCCCAGAGCGCTGTCTGCTCAAGGAAGGACATCAAAAGCCCCCCAAAACACACACCCAAATAAAACAAACTCCCAAGGATGCTGCGCTGGGAGAACCTCATTGCAGGATGCAAAGCACGCGCAGAAGTGGCTGCGCACTCCAGCTGGGTGTCCAGGCAGGCAAACACCACGTTTTGTGCTCCAGGAGCCACCAGCACCGACCTGTCCTTCTCCCCAAATTCACTCGTGCCTCCAGCATAGAGAGAGGCTTCACGGAGCTTCACGGAGCGGGGGTTGCTGGTTATGACCCCCATGGAAAGAGCAGCAGGAGAAAAATCCTCCTCCTCCAAGGAGGAGGCTCAAGTCGCACGTACTGTGTCACACG